TGTTGTTGATGCTTGATGGTTACAAAAGCCATATAAGTTATATGAGTGTTGAGTTCTGCTGTAAAAATGGTATTGGTATTCTTCTTTAAGTGCTTTCGCCTTATATGACTTACGTTTTACAGCCATCTGAAATTCCCTTTGCAAAATTAAAAAATGAATATGGAAAAGAATGTGACAAATATCGAATTAATAATAATGGCAAAATAATAACAAAATATACCTTCGCGAAGGTCTTTGGTTAGCTTTTTCTTAAAACCTATATACCATCGGCTGTTCGTAATGGCTTTAAAAAAATGAGAATATGGCTGTTTAATCCCAATGCTGTTAGCTCAGACCATTTAGACCCTTCGTTAGCAACAGAACAATTTAATATTGTACCTTCAACTAGTAAACCTTCAAATAACCAACTTTTTAATACACAAAGCTCTACTAACCAACCACTCTCCATGCAACTTGTTGAATTGTTTCAACCTAACAAACTACATTACATTCACTCTACTCATTCAAACATTGCCCTGTTAGAAAAAAAAAATGATATTCTTGAAAATGAGAATGAAATACTTAAAAGCGAAAATGAAATACTAAAAACTCAATTTGCAGCAATAAAAGGTGAGTTGGAAGCTTATAAAAATCCGAGAACATGTTCTCTAAGAACAGCCCTCAAGTATCCAATTTCTCGAACTTTTAAATCTGAAATACCGAAAGCTACTCTAGATCAACAGGAATCTGAATTGCGTCTGCCTAAAAAAAAAAAAAACTCTTCCATTTGTGCAGCTTCTTACTTGTGAAGAAATCTGGGAGCAGTTAAAAACTGCAAGGGAAGAAGAGAATAAAAAAATTGCTGAAACCAAATGAAGAAAAGAAATAGCAGCTCAAAAAAAAGAAGAGAGAGAATGAAAAAAAGAAGAAATAGCATAAAAAAAAGAAAAAGAGCAGGACAAAAGGAAGAAGAGGGACGACAAAAAGAAGAAAAAGCACGACAAAAAGAAAGCAGGGGTGCGGCTAAAGGAAGAAAAGGAAAGGTGCAAGAAAATAGAACCATATAAAAAAAATAATCTTTTTTTTTTCTAAGTCTAAGATCGACCACAATACTCCCCTTTTTTCTAAAATTAGCATTTTATATCCCTTTATGTAATGTTCATTTATACCTCAAAGTAGTTTGTTGTATAGTATTTTTCTATAACGGATTTATTTCATATTAGGCGTAGTTTATATGGTAATTATAGATTGAAATTTTATGTGTATAATAAAAAGTTTTGTTAGTAAAGACCTTAATTTGACCACAATACTCCCATCTTCCTTATATAGTTGATTTTGTTATAAAAGATTTGTAAGGATGCTGCTGTTCTAGAACTATTAGCTATGAACTTCTGATAGTAGTTTACTAACCCTAAAAACAAATGAAGTTCATGTATATTTTTAGGCACTATCTAATTCTTTATAGCTTCTATTTTCTTAGGATCCATTGAAAGCTTTGTTGACAATATTATATATTCTAAAAATTCTAGACTAGTTTTTCTGAATTTACATTTATTGATTTTCCCATAAAATTGATTTTTCCAAAATATCTCTAATACCTTGTTCACATGTTTTACATAATCTTTTTGTGATTTGCTATAAACTAAAATGGCATTGAAATAAATTATTAAATTTATCTAAAAAGTTACAAAACACATTATTCATTAAACGTAAAAAAAACTGGTCATTCGTCAAACTAAAGAGCACTACTATAAATTTATAATGATTATATTGTGTACAAATGCTGTTTTTTAAATAACCTCTTCTTTAATGCATATTTGATAATATCCAAAGCATAGATTGATTTTGCTAAAATACTTTGCTTCTATGAGTTGATCTAGCAACTCATTAATACAGGGAAGGAGGTACTGATTTTTGATTGTAACTTTATTTAAAGCCCTATAATCTATATACATGTAAAGGAAACCTTCATTCTTTGCTATAAACAGTACTAGGCTCTATAGGATGATGAGCTATAATAGATTATTCCTTTTTTAATATTCTCTTCAAGTTGTTTTTTAGTTTCTTTAATTCATACAGTAACAAC